ATTTTTATTTTTCATTTATTTGTTTTAGGAATCTTCATATTGCTTTTTTTTTTTTTTTTGTGGTAGTGGGTACTGAACTCAGGACCTTAAGTTTGCCAAGTGCTATGCTATTGAACTATATCCTTGGTCCACGGTACTGATTTTTTATGATAATTATACCAATTTAGAGTTCTAGCAATAGTGTACAAAAGTTTTATTTTGTCTTTGATAGTACTCAATATATTGTCTTTTGATAATATTCTTTCTTATAGGTACGAGTAAAATACAATAGAATATATTTATTTTTTTATCTATATTTACCTGATGATTATTAATGCCTATGATATTTCCATGTACTGTTGAACATTTATGTCTTCTTCTTTTTAAAAATATATGTAGTACAGGGTCTTCAGGTTCTCACTATAGAACAGACTAATAGTGATCCTCCTGTTTTCAGCCTCCTACATGCTGGGCTTACAGGAGTGCACCACCATGCCTGACTCAGTGCACCCGGGGGTGGGGGCGGGGGCAGGGCTAACACTATGGTGTCAGGGATCAAACGCAGGTCCTGTACTTGCCTAAGTAAGGGCTTAGTCCCCTCAGCTATCTTGTCAGCCCTCTTTGCCCATTTTAAATTGTTTTTACTATTGAGTCCTTCACCTCCATATTTATTTTGAATATTAACTCTTTGATTGATGTGTAGTTTGCAAAACCTTTCTCCTAATGTGTTGACTCTTTTTTTTTTTTTTTTCTCTATTAATTACTGCTTTTTTCACATGTGGACATTCATTTTACCAATTTAAGATTTTGTTTTTCCCTTGTTATGTTAATTTTTTCCTTAACATAGAATCAATTTACTATAGATGTGTGGATTCATATCTGTATTTTTTGTTTTGTCATAATTGATCTTGATATAAGTATAATGCTAGCTTAATTGTTATAGCTTTCTAACGTATTTGAAGTGATGAAGTTGATGCATGTGTTATATTTCTTCATTACCCAGATCATTTTGGCTAATCAAAGTCTTTATGGATAACTATGAATGTCCATTTTGTATCTGTGTATTCAAAGTGGTTGGGATAGATATATAGTTGCATTCTCTTAATGAATAGAATGATTTTTTCTAATGGTGTTTGTAAGTAGGATCACAAGTCTGCATCTTGTACAGCAATTAACCACTAAGAAGAATATATGCAGTGTATTATTTGTTGAAACTGTATTTTCGATTTGATTTGAAACTGTCTCATTGCTATATGTTTATCAATAAAACTTTGAAAAGAAAAAAAAACAAAAGTCTTTATGGTTCATATTAATTTTAGGGTTGTTCTAGTTTTGTGAAGGATAGTATTATTATTTTATAGGGATTGCATGGACTGTAGATGACCTTATATTTAGGGTTTTTTGTGTGTATGTGGTACCAGGGATTGAACTCAGAACCTTGCACTTGCCAGGCAGGCGCTTCTGCTACTGAGTTATATCCCCAGCTCCTAAGTAGATGACTTTGGGTAATGTTAATATTTTAAAAACATTAATTCTTGGATACTCATTACTCATTTATCTTTGTCTCCTGCAGCTTCTTTTATCAGTATTTTATAATTTTAATGCAGGAGCCTTTTACTTCTTTAATTAAGCATATTTCGTTCTGTTAGTATTTTGAATGCTCTTTGTTTTTTTTTTTTTACTTTCCTTTTTGGGTATTTTGTTGTGTATAGGAGTCTACTGATACTTGTATGCTTATTTTTTTTTTATCCTGTATGTTTACTGAATTTATTCTAACAGTTTTTGTGTAGAAATACTATGGATATTTTATGCTACATCTTTACCGAATTTATTAATATTAATACTGCTTTTGAGTATCTCTACATGTTTCTTTGTATTTTATCTTATCATTTGCAAGCAGAGATCATTTTACTTTTCTTCCTCTTAGGATGCCTTCTTACCATGTTGAATTGCTCTGGCTACTGTTCCCAGCACTACATTGAAGAGAAGTAGTGAGAATTGGGCGTTCTTCCTTTGCACTAAATCATAGTGGAAAAGATTTCAGTTGTTTTTTGATTATGTTATTAACTTTAGGCTTTTAATATAGTACCTTCATTGTGTTGAAGTAAATTTCGTCTACATCTATGTTTTTTGGAAGACCTATAAAAGCAAGTTTGTCTTTGTCAATTCTGATTTTTGTCTATTTTCTATCATTTACTTTTATTTCTTTCTAAGAACATGAATGATTTTTATTTATTTATACATTCTTGCTTCTCATGAATAATTTGGATTTAGTCATGATTTGAGACACTTAAAATATGTCACTGAATTTGGCTTGGCATTTTTATTTGTTTATCAGAGAAAATGGCCTAGAGTTTGATTTTCTTGAGGTGGTGTCTACATGATTTGTGGCAGGATGTTGCTAGCATTGGATAAAACACATGGAAGTGGTATTTATATTTTCTAGAGTTTAAGAGGCTCAATATTAATTGATTTTTGAATGTTTGGTTGAATTCACCCATGAGGATGTTTGGTGCTGGGATTGTCTTCAGGAAAGTTTTTAATTACTCATCTAATTGCTTTACTTTTTTTTTTTTTTTTAAATTGGTCGGTGCAGCCTTTCTACTTATTGACCATGACTTGAAACATGTAATATTTATAGGGATTTACTTATTTTTCCACTGTATTTAATTTTCTGATGTTTAATTTTTCATAAAATTCTCAGATTTATATTAGAGACATTCTCTATGTTTATTTGTTTATTTCTGAATTTATTTGAATTTTTTGGTTAGTCTAAGAGTTTGTTGATTTTGTTTTTCCTTAGAAAACACCAACTCAATTGTGTTGATTTTCCTTTTTCTATGTTCACTTTTGCTTTATTATTACTCTACATAAGGGACTGACAATAAATGCTTACCAAATAAATTTTCTGCATGGCAGTTAAAAGATTGGCTATTTTTCTTTATTTGGCTCTGGTTTACAGAATGTTTCGTATGTACTTTGCTCAACCTGTGATCTCATAGCGCTGTCATTTGGGGGATACATCTGAGTAACAGTAGGACTCTCATGTACTCAGGAGAAGACCATGATATTTCCTTTTTTCCATATTCCACAGATAATTAATTTAGTAAATATAGAATGTAGTAAACTAAATAAATAGATGTGTTTTGTTTTCTAATTTTCTTCTAATGGGTGATTCTGATGATTTCTGGACTCAGTTAAAAATATAATTCACTGGTCTAATTCTACTATTTTCACTATTCTTTTAATGTTATATTTGATTCCATGCTTATCTTAAATTCTGTGGCACATCATTGTGGTCATGGTACTCATTCTCTTTTATATACTTTCACTTTAAAAAAAAAAAAAAAACAATTTATATTTATCTGGTACCAGATCTCACCATGCAGCTCAGACTCATAGTGATCCTCCTGTCTCAGCCTCCACAGTGCTAGGATTATAGGTGTGCCCCACCCCGCCTATGCACAGCACGCCCGGGGTTCTGGGGCTAGCACAGCATGTGGTACTGGGCATTGAACTCGGGTCCTTGCACTTGCCAGGCAGGTGCTTAGAACACCGAGCTGTCTCCCCAGTCCTCTTTCATATACTTTCAAACTTGATATCCCATTTCTCTTTAAAATACAGATTGTTCTCTCTACATTTTCCATGAATCCTTTTTTATTCATTAAGCTTTAAATATCATATATGTGATGATGACTCAATCACAGTATATCTAATCTGAATCTTTGCCCCGATATCCAGTTGCCTACTCTCTCATCACCACCATACGACCATCGCTATGCATAGCTTGACCAGTACTGCCTGCGTTTAGCCCTGCTCGGCTGCTCTAGCAAGTTTTCTCATTTCAGTAATAGCAATTCCATCCTACAAAACATTCCTTTCTTTCAAGGCAAGTTTCTAATTCTTTGGTCAGTCTAGTTGACTAATGTTGAAATGTAGCCAGTATTCAAACTTTTTCCTGTACTGATTTTATGGTTATTTTACCAGAAACTATTATTATTTCCTACCTAACCAAATGTGTATCTACCTGCTTATGATGAAATCCCATTTCCCTAGATTCCAGTCCTCAACATAATACTACAGCCATCCCGTTAAACCTCAGGTTGAAACCTGTGATCCTGTTTGCCAAAACACTGCAATAATTTCCCTTCTAATTTAAAATAAATTAATATAGCTACCTCTTACCTAGATGACTTTACTTCAAACTTCTTTCCTGTCTTGTTCAGTTCACTTCACCCATAGCTGCATTAATTTTACTTTTATCTGTAAAGAAAATATGTACTAAAAAGATTCTGGCTTTAACTGTTTGATTGATCTTGCAAGCCTATATCTAGTAGTCTGAGCAACAAATTTGATGATAACAATATATAATATAACAACCATTGTTAGGGCTGGGGAGATAGCTCAGTGGACTAAGTGCTTGCCTGGCAAGTGCAAGGTCCTGAGTTGGATCACTGGTACCTCAAAAAATTATCTATATATATATATCTGTATCTATAGCTATATCATATAGATAGATATAATTTTTATATCTATCTATATGTAAAAAGATATTATATAAAATTATATATCTATATCTATAGATATAGATACAGATATGTATCAACCATTGTTAATTTCCTGTTCTTGTTTTGAAATTCTGTTCCACTTTTACTGACTTATGGTGCTTTGTTTTTCTCTTTGTTCTTATTTCTTTTTGTTTTTTTCCTCTTTAAAATAAAATTTAAATTTAAATTTAAAAATTAAAATTTTAATTTTTTAAAAGACTGGCAACCATCATAAGGACGTTTTCTCCCTGATCACAAAGCCCTTTGACAATGGGAATTTGTTTCTTATTCTAAGAGTGTTACAAAATCAGTTTATGAAACTTATGTATTTTTCATTTTACTAACATTTTGGTGAACATTCATTCTCCTTGGAAAAGCAAAGTAACTTTCCTAGACAATCACATGTAGACACTATACATAGATGAACTAAAATTCGAAGATGATAAAAATTGATATTAATGCTCTTAAATTTAGGTCACTATTATTAATCAGAGAAAAGTTCATCTTGAAATTCAATCAAACCCGGAATCCAGTAGAGAAGAAAGAGCTGCTAGAACAAGCGAGAAAAAACATTCTAAGATGTAAGGTATGGCACATTATATGATTACTTGGTATGTGAACTTTCTCTTATAGTTGATGACTGGCTACATGTTCTAAAATTCTGAAAGAAAGAATAAGAATATAGGCACACATTTCTTTAAAGGAATTATAAATAACCAAAAGGGAAATATTGATGTCAATTAAAGTTAATAATTTAAATTTCATTAGCCTTGTGTATGATGACTCCTAGTAAATTGTTAGGGCATGTGGTTGTGGACGCCAGTCCAAGAGCCCACTGCAGCGCCTCAAAGGCTGGCAGATAGAGCTTTCATTATGAAAAATTTGCATTTTAAAAAAATGCTTAGCTGAAGTATAATGTGGCACGAAGACTAAAAGAAGACTTTGTAAGCCTCCACTATACAAATACAAGGACTGCATTCTTTTTTTCTATTATAAAGTATTCTTCACTTGAAATAAAAAGTATACTTCTTTAAGGTAAGATGCCAAGTCCCACATTTTCAAACATATTAAAACAGAAAAAGAAGTAAAATAACCTTTACTTTGCCTTTAATGAATTTGACTAATTGTTAGTTTGATTTATAAGTTGTCTACATTTTTCCTATTCTTATTTTTATCTTCTTTCCTTCCCATCCCTCCTACCCTTTTCCCTCTTATTCCTCTCTTCAAACAAAAAAAAGTCTGTTATCTTCCTATTATCTATCTTCTACTTTTCCATTTATAATTTTTAGTTTCTTATATGAGTAGGCATAATTTGTGAAACAACTACTGCACAGAATTGAAGTAGGAAGTAAGTTTCTGTGTGCTTTCTGGTAGCAGCTATTTTTCAGTTAATGGCTGTGTGTATATTTATACTAGGGAAGCGATCCATTTAAAACACAATAGTATGGAAACAAGAGGTGCCAGGAGGTACCTTCATCAGCTAGCTTCTTTCCAATGCACTAAATGCTCCCAGGGGAGTCTCAGGCTTGGCACCGCAGCTAAGAAAATGAGCCCATCCCCACTGCCGACCTCCTTCCACTAGCATGGATACATCAACACCGGTAGCCTGCGTTGCACAGCAAACTAGCATCAAGCTTATTTCTTCAGTAATA